TTGGAGATAAGTGAAGATTTTGGTGAAGAAAAGTTGACAAGAGCAACTTTGAGGAGTACAGTGAGAGCGTTGGGAAACTAGCAATGTGATTGAGACAAATTATTTCAATCGTTATTATGATAATTTAGTATGTCGCACCCAAAATTTACCTTGTAATTCGCTTAGTTTTTTGTTGTTTTTTTGCCTGAATCATTTTGAGTTTATCGCTTCATTTCCGACAAAAAAAGAGGTTTCCTATGGTTGAATTTCATATTTCAAAAGGAAGCATCCACCTTCTCATTCATATCCAGCAATACGCACTTCAGTCCTTTATCGATGGTAACGTTGGCAATACCAGCTCCCATCAGTCCAGCGCCCACAACAGCTACTTCTCTGAAAACATTTCGTTCGGACTCTCAATTTCAATCGCATTCACTGAAAGTTTGCTGTACCCACTTTACTGGCAGTCCTTTACCATACTTATTCTTCTTGCATTCGGTCGATCCCGTGAACAATCCTACTAGTGCTTTAGATTGGTAAGTTTGGGTAAGTTCACCAAAGCTCTAAAAATCCGAAATTTAGGATATTTATGTGAAAGAACAAGTAATTAAGGATGAATAATAAATGGTGCCTGAGATTCCGCATTATAACCCTGCGATGGTCCCTCTACAAGTCCTGCACGTACTGCTTTCAGGATTCTCAGTGGAGCTGGGTAATTCCCACCAGTTAGCTTCATGACCTGAAGTAGGTGAAGATAACATTTACGAATGACAATTCTTTTTCGTAAGGAACACTTTTCAACAAAACTTTTTTTTCGCAGGAAAGTGGCTTATGAAAATTAACAATTTTTATTACAACTTGGATATGAATTAATTATATTCTTCTTCTATCTGCTCATATTCTGTCCGAATATGCGTTAATAGCGGGTATTGTTTCGTTCTTCGAATCATCTGATCCACCCGTCAACTAAGGACATGGTGAGCATTTACAAAAGAATAATCAAACAAGCAACTATATCACAGTTTATTAAGCGAATCATTGTGACACATTTACTCTATTGATTGTATAACTGTAACTACGCTCACAAAAAGCTTACTGCTTTTTGAGAGTAGTCAAAAAGGAACGTCAATCGAATTACGTAAAGACCACAATACTCCTCTGCGATTTACTTCTCTACTATAAGATTTTAAAAAAAGACATTTGATTTTACCTTGTCCTTAGCCATCTTCAGCACCACCTTATCGAGAACGAATGAGTTTGTCATAACCTGAAGAGAGTTTTATAGCTGTTTTCGCCTATCATTCTCAAAATTGAGGAGATAGAAGTTGAAGCTTGAACTGCTAAGGCGCTCACCTTCTGCATGACCTTCTGTAGCATTGGTTTCTCTCTATTTACTTTCAATGAACCTTTAGCCAATTTTCGAGCTGTATCTACTGCTACTTCCTCTAAATACCTAAAAAATTCTGTATTGGACTGACGGCATTTGATTGCTTTACTGTACCTGTGAGTGTTAACTGCGGCTGATGCAAGTCCGTCACCAAGCGGTTGCACCACTGAGTCAACTAGACCGATTTTCTTTGCCTGAAAGTTCTAGCTTTAGATTAAAACAACGGGTAGATTAAAACAGTGAATCCTGATTTATAAGTAATGATGGAACACAAAAGTTCCTATGAAAAACAAGATTCCAATACCTTGTCAGCCTTGACTTTCTTTCCAGTGAGCATCATGTCGAGTGCATTTTGCAACGATACAAGTTTTGGAAGTCGTTGAGTACCTCCAGCTCCCGGAAGTAGTCCGAGCATAACCTGAAAGTAAACAAGGTATGCGGGAATTCAACCGAAATCTAGGCTATCCACTATTTTTTATCATATAGGATGCCACACCTTTTGAGATGCTTTAAATTTGAAGCTCTACACTTTTTTATTTTCTGCTGAATATATTACTATTGGAACATTGACAAATTATCATCTTTTTTCAGTTCTCAACACTCTTTTTGATTTTTTTGATTCCTGACAGATGACTCAATTTTCTAAGAAAAATCTCTTTACTTATCTATCTGGGTGTTACCACCCAGCATTGTTATCTTTGGAACTGACCTCAGGCAATGCAAGTTGTGTCTTTTTGTCATTCACAGCTATACGATATTGGCACGCCATAGCTAATTCCAGTCCTCCACCCATACAACTGCCCATGATCGCTGCTACAATGGGTTTCCCAGACCTTTCCAATTTTTCGAATTGTTCTTGAGCCTTCCTAAAAACTAGAAGATTCGAAAGCAAGTAAGTTATCTTTTTTATTCTTCTAAGCTCACTTAGAGATAGCAGTTCCTTCCTGAGGAGTTTTTGCTTTGCTTAACATTCCCACATCAGCTCCGGCCACAAAACTGTTCGGCTTTCCGGACATCAAAACAATAGCCTTTACGGTAGTGTCACGCTCTACCTATATTTAGAAATTTGGGATATTATGACAATGGACAAAATTTGAAGGATCTACCTTGTCAAAGGCAGCTTGGAGATCTCCCGCTAAAGCTTCGTTAAGGACATTCTCCTAAAAAAACCCTCAAAACTCAAACTTCAAATTAGTAAAGAAAAAATTTACTTTGTCTATACAGTACCTTAGTGTTCGCCAAGTCCATTTTAATGACGGCTACATCACCTTTGTTCTCAACCTTTACCGCTGAAATGGAGTAATTTTAAAAAAAAACACTGTTTCTTAAAAAATTATCTAGCCTATAAAACCCGATGATAGAAAGGCACAATGCTTGAATTGATACCTTACCTTGATTAAGCGACATTGTGGCAGAAAATCGCCGAACGCATGGGGCTAAAACACTGAGATTACTTTAATCATTTTAAATCAAAGATATTTCTAAGAAGTTAATGTTTCACATTTTTTGATATTTGAATTATCAAAACTATAAAATTGTCAATCCTTTTCTGAAGAATATTGAATGCTGAATGGATTTTCAATTTCAATCACGCTTTAAATTGAGCGACCGGTACATTCTATAGATCTCTGATTAATCGAAGTTCGGTCAAAGCTTCGTTGGGAGGAATTGATGTTAAATTGTAAAAAAGATCAGGTTAGATGAAAAGCACTACTTTCTTTATGCTTCTGAAAAATACTAACCGATGAATCTGGATCCATATGCTAACCGCGATAACATCTTCTACCTGAACCAACGCAACGCCTTCAACAAGAATTTGTAAAAGATGATCGCGATGATCAATTACGTCTGTTACACGAATGATAGAATAGCAATAATACTAAATTATAGAAAGCATAGTTATAGAATGGCGAGGAGGAAGTGAAAGACTATGACACAAAAGAAAATCTTAGGAAAAAAGTTATTAATGGAACAAGGAAGAGATACTATGAGAGTATAAAAATTCAAACATTTGTTATAATTTTGTGTATTCCAGAATAATAACAACATAAATTTTTCCACACACTTGCTACTTCATTCTTAAAGCTAAGTGCTTCAAAGATTATTAATTTTGAGTCAACAGATGATTTTGAAGAATTCAAAGCGTTAAGCCTTTAGTAGTCAAATATGCAAAACCTTTGTGTTAAAAATGTTCATTGTTAAAACTTCTCTTCAAAAATAAAACAGCATGAAACCTATAATCGTACACGTTCTCTGCTAACCTGTTGGAATTTGAGCATAAAACATAAAATAGTCAAAATTAACCTCTTTCTCTTAAGTTACAATTACGAACTAAAACGATGAGTGGACATGACATAGGAGATTTGAAAAAGGCAGATACATAACCGTATGAAAGGCTACGAAGATGTACGGAGAATAAAACATAGATACTATTAGTACATACTATGAAAGTATTAAATGCATACAAATTATTGTTTAAAAATCATCTGTCAACTAGCTAATTCTAGTAATAAATAGGTAGTCCAAAAGGCAGTTAGAAGTAGGAGAACAAGTCACGATTTTTAAGGATAGAACTTCTTTCCGCTTTCGGCGTGGTCCTTGAGAAGTTGGCATGGTGTGAACTAAATGATCAGAATTAGCCTTTTATAGTCTGCTTATACTTGATATTGCTGAAATTATGCAAGAGCAGACTTCCTAGAGGTCAAGAGATGTTCAAACTCATTACAAATTGGTTTTTGTATATTATTTACGAAAATCTTAAGTCATGACTTTTAGTTCACCTAACCATTTTTTATCTACAGTAGCACCTCAGCACACAAAAGGAAATTTATAAAACATGAAATAAGCTTGTCTAAGTAAACCCAAAAATTCCCCTTGAGGTAAAAGTTCCACAGCGTTACCTGCTCAGAGCTGTATGCAGATGCGAATTTGTTCATCGAATCC